GAAGGAATAGAAACAAATAGCATAGACAAGACTTTCTTAATTAAAAAAAAAAAAGGAAAGAAAGAAAACAAAACAAAACCCTCAACAGAAACATACCTGCTATTTGGCAGCAGGAAACTCTCAATTGGCTGAAAGTGAGTTTCGGGACAAATTGCCAGCTGCTGTCCTGCTGTCCTGCTTTCCTTCCTCTTCTTGAGAGAAACGGGCAGGAAAGAAATGGACCCAGGCCATCTTATTCCAAATTCTTCTCTCCTTTCTTCTGCTTCTGTTATTGTGTTATTAATAAGCCAGGGCTGCCAATGCTCACTCTAAATAAATACTGGTGTGTGTGACCAATTTTTGGATAGCAAAGAGAGATGTTTTTTCATTGTTGAGAACAGGAGGTTTAGTGACCAATATCCACAATTCTTTTTCTCGATGACTGTAGATCACGGTATCTTATGTTGTTTCTGAGTTCTCTGCATGCAAGAAAATAATGAAAGCCAGAGGAATGTGAGGTAAGTTTTTTTGTGTCATATAATCCCTTTATGAACTGCGGTTGCCAAAAAGGATTCCTGCTTTCCACAGATGTGCTATATTCCAGGATTAGGGTTTCTTTTATTTTTAAGATTCTCAAATTTAACATGATTGCCTCTTCCCTACAACTTGCTCCACTAGGGTCTTCCCTGTCTCTGTAGCAACCTCTGTGCTTCAGGCCAAAAACCTTGGACTTGCCCTTGACTTTTTACTGTACCTCATCTGCTGCTCCTCTCCCCCTCACCCAGTCTGCTCCAGCCCTCCTGGCCTCCTTGATAATCCTGGAATACACCAAGTAGGCTCCCACCTTGAGGCCTTAGCACTGGCTATTCCCTCTGCCTGGAAGCTTTCAAGAAGGCTATAGTTCACTCCATCTCCTTCCAGTCTGTGCTCATACATCATCCTTTCAGTGAAGTCTACTTTGACCACCCGATTTAAAATTGCACCAGGGTGCCTCATCCCCTTAACCCCTTTAATTTTTTCTTGTAACTATATTTGGTAATTTATGTAATTATTAATTATTAATATACTTAGCTATCGGTTTTATTATCCATCCAATTTTTGTTTTCTTCATTAATGTATCCCAGCACTTAGGAGAATACCCAGCACATGACAGGTATTTGGTAAATATTTACTGAATGAATGAAAAGATGAATTCCCTTTAACTGAGGACAATCCTCTTAACATCACTAGACGTTAAACTAGATTTTTGGAGAACTTCTAATTGAATTAGCCATAGTTAGTGTTTCCAGTTATGTAGCTGCGAGAGTACAATAGGAATTTGATGGAGATCCTGGGAAGGGACATGTTGGACTAAGAATTGTCCATCCTTGAGGCTAGATAAATCCAGGTGCTTTACTCCACTTAACTTTTTGGAATCATAGAGAAAAGTGATTATGAGCTCGCTTACATGGACAATCTTACCAGAACTGAAGCTTCCTGGAGTCCGGGTTCTGAGAATCTCCCTCCCTGGAAGGTGGAGAGGATACCTTAACCAGCTCTGCCACTCTTTCAAAAGGAGCCACTGCAATTCTCCTAGGCCTTCGCTTGGCCCCCTGCAAAGGGAGCACAGTGTGTACAGTGTACCGTGTACCGTGTACCCGGAGACCGTCCTGAGGTGTAACGAGCACCCTTCAGAGGGGAAATCCAGGACATTCTAGAGCAGCAGAGAAGCACCTCGGAAAGCTGCTTTACACATTTTTACCTTTTTTATTTTATTTACTTATTTTTATTGTGGTAAAACACCAAATGTACCATTTTAGTCATCTTTAAGTGTTTGCTTTTTTTTTTAATTATAGAAAGTCACACAGGAGTTCTAAGGCAGAATTTGGGGGATGGCAAATGAGAAGAAAGGCGACAGCCCGGGGGCTCCTTCCCCGAGGAACTCTCGGAATGCGCTGCGGGCTGAAACGGCACCGCCGAGCTCCATCTTGCTGGGACCGGGCAGTCCTCGCCGCCTCCAGGGACGCCGGCCTTCCAGCCGCGCGGCCGGGTCCTCCCACGAGGTCCGATCGCACGGCTCCGGCCGAGCTCAGCGGCGCTGCGGGGACAGGACCCAACCGGGAGCAGAGTCGCGGCCCAGGATTCAGCCCCTGGCACAGTTCGAAACCGCAGGGAGGCGACGGCCGAAGCCCCCAGGCTCCTCTGGCGTCTTTCCTTATTCTGTCTTCGCGAGGCGCCGCCTCACATTCCCCCGCCCCTCCTGGAAGCGCGCGCTCCAGTCGCTCCGCCGCGCGCCTCCGGCGGCGCGTCGTCCGAAGGCAAAGAAAGAAAA